TATTTTTAGGCGAATGTCATGACGCAACTGGGCACTTTGGCTACAAGAAGATGAGTGCTAACTTAGTACAACGATTTTGGTGGCCCAGAATGTTTGATGACGCAAAGAAGTATGTTGAGACCTGTCAGGTCTGTCAGCGGGATAAGCCGCGAACTCAAGCACGGCTTGGGTTATTGAAGCCTTTACCTATTTCTGATGGTCCAGGATTGAGTGTTTCCATGGATTTCATGGACACTCTTGTGACCAGCAAGAGTGGTAAGAGGCACATTTTCCTCATCATTGACCGATTCGCCAAGTACGCTAGACTAATACCAATGCCAGAGACAGCCAGGACAGAATACGTCATCAAGTTGTTCAAGGACAACTGGGTAAGGGACTTTGGTTTACCAAAGACCATCATTAGTGACCGAGACGTCCGATTCACAAGTGAGTTGTGGAAGAAGACTGCGGAACATATGGGCAGTCAACTTCAAATGACTTCAGGGAATCATCCCGAAGCCAACGGACAGGCCGAACAAATGAATAGAGTTGTACAGCACTTGCTGAGGCATTACATCAAGCCCAGCCAGGATGACTGGGATGAGCAGTTACCTCTCATCACCAGCCTGTACAACAATGCTATACATAGTAGTATCGGCGTTAGTCCTAACCAGCTGCACTTAAGATGGAAGCCTAGATCAACACTAGACTTCCTCCTACCTGAAAACCGACCTGTTGCAACTCCAGGCACACTTGAATACGGTGTGCAATATGAGAAGTTGCTGCAAGAGGTTGTTGAACATATGAAGAAGGCTCAGCAAGCCATGATTGCTTATGATAATCAACATCGCAGACAGTCCACATTTCAGGTAGGGGAACGTGTCTGGGTCAAGGCTAGTGAGCTAGGACAGGAGTTCGGAATATCTCGCAAACTAATGTCGCAGTACTTTGGTCCCTGGGAAGTCTTGGATGTAGTGGGAGATGAGTTGGATGGTCCCAGATATGTCATTCGTGTCCCTGGACACTTACGCACTCACCCAGTCTTTCATGCCTCAAAGCTTGCACCTTTCGCTGAGACTGATCAATTCCCTTCCAGGAGATCGATGCTGCCCCGAACCATGGATGGACAAGTCGACATCGACGATATTGTGGATCACAGGGATATGCCTGTTCCGAAGCCGCTGGGTCAAGGAAGACCTCCTAAGCCCAAGAGGGAGTACCGGATCAGATTCAGGCATCATATGGATCCGAAAGAAGATCGGTGGTTTACCCGGGAGGAACTGATGGAAACAACTCCTCAGGTGGTGGCAGATTATGAACGGAAGCTAAAAGGGAAGGCACCTGCAAAGTAAGCATCTCAGCGGACTTTCGAAGCTTAGGGGGATGGAATGTGAGGATTGAGCCCTCAAGTAGGGGCCTTGCCATGATGTACATGTTCTGGGCTAAGGCCCCAGCAAGCCTCGTGCCCGCCCTAAGTGAAGGCGGGCCAACAAATCAACAAGAGCCCTCTATGCCAACATTTCACGAAGTGGGGTTAATACAGTTGCAGCACGCCAGTTGGTTGGTGTGCACCGAGTCTCGGATTTCAGCCAATGCTGAAATGCCCAGGGCCTCTGAGTTAGTTAGGCCCTGGGCTGAACGTGAGGCCGACAATGCATGCTRGGKAGAGAGGCCGAAAATGCCAAAGGGAAATCGRCCCASTATCTGAATCTGGCCACAGGCCTTGATGAAAGAGGTGCAACTGCACTGCCCGGGGCCCAACTGTATCGAGTTGGCTTCAGCCTCTGGGTCCCGGTCACAGGCTGAAGGGAGGCCGCACACTCGCTGCATTGGCATATAGGCAAGCAGGGCGAGGCAGCGGGGATCTCGACCAATGCTGGCACTTGCGGGCACGCTGCGCGGATGCATGTGTGCTGCGCTGTGCAATGCAGCGCTGCGCTAAGAGCAAGCAGGCCAGCGCTAGGCGGTAGGGCGCTGCCTGCATGCAAGGCACTGGCGGCCATAGCCGGGCCGCATGAGGGTGTAAGAGAGGTAAAGGGCGAAGGTGGTCTTCGGAGGTGAAGGGCGCTGTGTGGGTAACAAGGGAGAGTGTGGGGAAGAGGACACGTACCTGGTGATGGTGGAATACG